GGGCTGGAAATTGCACCACGCGGGGTGGTGGCGGTTCTTTGGAAATGGTAACTGTGTAATACTTATTCTGTTGTGATCTGGTCCATGTGTCACAATAAAAACAGGCAAGGAGGAGCTGCTGGAATAGATGAGGAAAGACGTGGGTCTGCGCTGAGAACGAAGGCTATGCTGGCAGATCACAAAGGAGGCAGTTGTCCAACGATGCTCTGAAGAGACATTTAGTGGCACCGATGGCTAACTCATCGTGGCAACTGACACAAGAGGAGGGAACGTATTCAAGGTTTCCCCAAGACCTGTGAAGGTGGGGATGTTATTAAAAGATTTTGGACCTGGAGATCGTCATTTTAAGTGAAGTAAGCCAGAAAGAGTAAAAAAAAATACCATATGAGATCACTCATATATGGAATCTAACAACAACAAAAAAGAGCAAAGAAGACACTAACGAACTCATCTACGAAACAGAAACAGACTCGCAGACATAGTAAACAATCTTATGGTTACTGGCGGGAAAGGGGGTGGGAAGGGATAAATTGGGAGATCAAGATTTGCAAATATTAACTACTACATATAAAATAGCTTAAAAAAACGTCTTCCGTACAGCGCAGGGTTACGACAAGATATTCAACATCTTGGAGTAACCGATAATGAAAACGAGTATGAAAACAAATATATGTATGTGTGTGTATGACCGAAACGTGACGCTGTGCGCCAGAAATGGACACGTTGTAACTGACTATACTTCAGTTAAAAAAAAAAGAAAACGAATGATTTTGGGAACGCCAGAGGAAGAACATTTCTTTTTAGGGAGAAAGGTAAGATAAATTCGATTTTGAATGTTTGAGTTTAAGGGCCTGACCTGAATAGTTACTGCCGCAAAGCAAGCCACACTAACACCTTGTGCCCTAAAACAACAATTTATTATTCTCTCTCATGAAATTGGCATAGTGCGGGTTCTTCCCACCGCGCTGGGCACAGTGGGAAGCGCCGGCGCAGGCTCGGGGTGGGGACAAGAGGCTCCCCGTGTCACTGGCTGGTGTCAGCCATCTGCACATCTCTCCTGGGGCAAACATGGGGGGGATGTTCTGGGGCGGGGGGACTAGGGTGAGCCCAAGTCTGGCTCTTCAGGAAGAAAATCAAAATGAGAATGTGAACCGAGACATTTTCTAGGGAAACGTGAGCAGCTGAAACCGTGGGAATGGATGAGAACAGCAGGGCGTGGAGAATGGGAAAAGAGCCACATTGAAAAGAAGAATTCAGGAAAGAGAGGGGATCTGAGGACAAATGATGTGTAGATGGAATCGGGAGTTTTAGGAGACCCACAACAGGGGAGCATCTGCACAGGACTGACATGGGAAGGAGATGGAGAGGCCCAGGACCCAGGAGGGAGCGCCTCAGGGGAGGGGGTGCTGGCTGTGCACCATTGGGGGGTGTGGCTGGCCAGGCTGGGGCAGGGCAGGGGCGGTTCTGTCGGCCCCACTGCAGGAGCGTGGGGAGGGGACCGGCAGAAGGGAGCAAAGACAGGGGAACCCAGGATGGAAACTGGGGGAGGGTGGAGGGTGGAGGGGAAGTCTGGCTTCTGAAAGAAGTACTTTATTGAGATATCTGGAGATGTGCTGACGGGACGGGATCTCAGCTAAGTCTCTGCTCTCTGTGAAGATGGAACGAAACCACTTCCTGCTAGAATCAGGGGCTGTCATCCTCAGAGCATCCGCAGGGCGGTTCTTCAGAGAGGTCAGAAGAATCCGAGAAGAGAAACGAAGACGCTCAAAAGCCAAGTTGCATCTGTTGGCTTTATCATTTGTCTTCATTATTTTGGTTCTAATTGTGGATTCTCAAATGGAGGGAGAATTAAAAGAACTTAAAAAGAGATGCCATAACGGTAACGCTGGATGGAAATAGTCACATGCTCGCTAACTTTGGGGAAAACATGGGGTTATCCATATGAAATGACAGTTAAGTCTTTTCTTAATCTTGTGATATCGAGATTCCATCTTTTTCATGTAAATATCTGGTAAAAATCTATGACAATTGGAACATTATATACATATACACATACTGAGTTACTTCCAGCTAGTAATTTTCCTTCACAGAGACATGGAAATTATTTGACAGAAAAGGGTAAGAAATTGAGAGTTGGGTATTTCTGCCTAAAGGATTCAGTCAACTAAGTCAAAACTATGATGAAAATAAAAAGCCAATGGACCAGCCCTTGGGTAGCAGGTTGGTACCACGGTGTCATATATGCTATGGGTGATGCATGACTCCTGTATCAAGAAAACGTTAACAAAAAGGCTAGTGCAACTCTTGGCCCTTAAAGGCAAGGTTTTAATTTTTGTGTCTTCATCATGGCTTGTCTTCAATAGAATATGGAAGATGAGTGATCAATGGAATTTACAAATAGTTTATTGCCTCACAAATGAAAATATAAACTCTTTCAAGAGAGGAAGTTCTGTCTTCCATTTTTGCGTCACTGAGCCTGGCAGATGAGCTCTTGAGGGTGGAGAGTGAATGAATAAATGAAGCATGGGTATTGAAATCAGCTTTATTTGAATATAACCCGAAAAATTATAAAGCAAAAATATAAATCAGGATGTGGGTATCACAGTCAGTATCATGGTTTATAAATATCCATCCCAAATACCGTATTTTACTCAATACGTGTGCAAGCACAGAAACTTACACATGAATAAAACGGGTGGCTGGACTGCCCTCGCTTCTGAACGAGAAGTTAGAAAATGGTGCTAAATGGCTACAAAATATTTTCCAGTTTTCACTGGTAGAAAAGAACATAGAAATGAGAAATTTTCTGAAATGCATTTCCGATGAATCTTTGCTCTAGCGGATACTTTTTTTTCATGGAAATGGCTTTTAATGAGTGAAGGCTCCCATGCATCAGCACATCCCCTGATTTCTTTCCTCCTTCCTCCACAACAAGCAATGAGTGAGGCTGGTGACGGGATGGAAGATGAACAGTGTGTGTGCTTGGAAACTTAGAAGAAAGGTAACCTTTTACCAGGTGGCACCAACCGCAACACTGAGAGAGACGTTAAAATAAAATCGTTGAGTACGTTTTTTAATCCAAAAAGTAACGCGTTCAGAACTAGATAGAACATTTCATTCTATGCTTGGGATCCTTCACTGGCAATACAAAAATCTGTCTGTCTGAGTTCTCAGAGCGGATTTATGGCATCCAGCTTGGAACATTCTACACAGGCTAATAATTTCACTTCCATGATCTGGCGTTCTCACTAATTAGGTTGCGAACTGTCTGCTGAGGGTACTCTGTAATTCTGCCTTAAATGCCTAGTTGCATTTTTGATAGCATGAAAGGGGAGGGCAATGTCCCCAAAGACATTAAATCTTTACCAAATAATGGCTACAGAAATGATAACCGTTAGGTATACATATATATGCAGCATATATAGCTTATAGCATGTATGTATACTTATATTATGTGCAGATAACGTGCATATTCTAGCCATGATTTTTTTCTTTACTTTGCGAAAGAAAACAGATAATAAAGGGGGAGATGAGACAAAGTCAGACAAAACTGGGCGTCAGAGGGGCTAAGCTGTGTATTCACCACACTGACATGAGCTGCCATGACCAAAGCATTCTGGGGGAGCGCCTCGCCTACATTTAAAGCAGGTGCGAACTCACAGGGACCCTTAGTCAAACTCACCACGGATCATCTCCATCAGCACATTGGGTTTAACAAGGAAACCCAGGGGGGCACCCACTACTTTAAAGCGTTTACAAGCAAAGATTTAAAGATATATATCTATATATTTAAATATATAAAGATTTATATATATATATAATCATCCTGATAAAATGACTGCTTTTTAAAAAATTTAATGTTAGCAATATGATTTTTTTAATTACCAATAGTGGTGTCAAGTAGTAACTCTTCAGTGACAAAAGGGATATAAGAGGAAAAACTTTAAAAAAATGATCGGGTAAATATCTTACGGTCCCTTCGTCCTATAATATTGCATCAAACGTTTGAGCAAAATACAGGAGCGTTTCGGGGTGGTGTCAGGCCCTGCTTACCCCAGGCCACGGCTAAAACTTCAGTGACTTTCCATTGGCTGAGTGACTGCATAAATGAACGCTATTCAAAACAGCTTTAGCTTCCACAGCTGACCGAGGAAGTGTGTGACTGAGCTTCTAATTTGGCACCAGAGCAATTGACAGGAGCTGCCTTATCTCTGCACCACTTACTGCCTTCCACCCCGCCTCGCTTCCTCCCATTATGACTTTCATCACAGGCAGCCCCAAGTTTCTCCTTCCCAATCAAAAGCCCTTGGCGCCAGGTCCTGCTTAAGGCAATGGGGGTCCCTGAAAATGGGATGCCTCTGTCATTGGCGTGTTGATTAAGTGAAGGTCTCTTGATCTGGGTCACTACTGACACATTAATCTGCAGAGAGAATGAACATGCATTTGTAATGCACTGAAACATTACGTGATTTATTGTGCTTATAATGTGTAAATACAGAAGGGGAAAAAAATAAAGTCCAGCTCTCAGATGCCCTGCACTGAGGCACGGCCAGCAATTAACGGCACAATTCACACCCTCTGGGAAGACAGCCTGGGGCTGCTCCCCGTCTGTCTCACAGCGCATCCTCATTCCAACTGAGCTGGCTCTCTGCCTTTACAACCATCATATGGAAACCTGGCTGCTCTCATCCACCTTCCTGTGGAGGTTTGCGGGTGGTAAAGGGGGATCCATACCTGATTGTGGACTTTGTTTGGGGATTTTGGCTACCGCTTGAGGGCTGGAAGTGGACGGCATTCGCTGGTTGGCAGAGCTGTGGATGCTGCTGGGCGCGGCCGCCGCCGAGACATTTCTGCGAGGCTTGGCATCTTGCAGCCACATGGGCGAGGCTTCGAAGGCCTGCATCCTCCGGGCGTGGCTGTTGGCGTTGACCTTCAGGTAAGCCTGGGCTCTGTGCTCTTGGAGCTCTCCGTAATTGGCATCTGTCACCCTGCACTCGTACAAGCCTTCATCCTTTTTCCTCACTTTGGAAATCTGAAGCTTGTGCGAGATGTCATTCCCTTGGACTTTCACTGTCTGAAAAATTGCAGGTAAAAAAGGTAAAATTAAAAAAAAAGTGCTACATCCAGTGGTTTCCTTCCCAAACTTGGTCCCAAGCTCACTAATCACGTTGGAAAATTAAAGTGTCCCAGTGGCCTCCCAGCCACAGGCAGAAAGCTGTTTATCTCCTCAGTGGTCAAATCAGAAGATCTTCCTTAATCTGTCCTACGAACAGAAAGCAAGATTGCGTTGTAATGAGCTCGATTCAGCCGAGGCCAGGTTCCACGGGCCACGTGGTTGTCAGCCCCCAGCTCCTGGTACCCGCTTGGCCATTTCCCAATCACGGGATTGGCCCGCGCCTGCTCGGCTCAGCTGAATCTCTGAGACATCACAGAAATACGTTGCTGGTAACGACTGAGTTTATCTGAGAATTTACCCCCACTTTGGGATGACTGCTAAAGGAACTGACAAAATCAACTTGGCTACTTCAATTCTGGGTGCCCCCCAAATACAGGACCTATATTCACAGCTGGCTTGATTCAGGGTGCAGACTGACATCACCTGAAACCCTATGGCTCAGATATAGGGTCTTCATGCTCCTGAACTTGGGACGCCATCAAATTAAACACGGGTTTGAGTTTCAAAATGGGAACGAGCTCTCCTATCGCTTCTCCTAACTTTTACGCCAGATAAACAGCAAGATTATATATAAGATCATGTTTAATATACACGATTCTAAATAATGTGTAATAGAGCTAAATGTCCAATTAGCACCCTTATCAGAACAGCCAGATTTGCCAAACACCATCTATTATCCATGATTGACAGGATGATGGATTTCATAAGACCGTCCAGATCTGAGGATTTGGATGGTTTCAAAAGATCTACAGAGAAAAAATTCCACTATAAGCCTTTATACTTTCAAATGGCCACAGATAATTATGAAAACTTGCAAAATGTTCCTTTTTTTTCATAGAGAGTTGCACATACAAATGAGTATGTATTTATGTGTGAAAAATTACACATACAGTATAGCAATTCTGTACAAAGGATAGCAATTAATAATTTCAAATATGTTTTCATCTGAAGCACCTGATGAAGTCTGGGGCAGTCAGAGCATTTATATTATTATTAGCCCTTTTTATAGTAAAGGAAACTGTTCAGGGGTCTCGGTCAGTGATTTCCCACAAGGACTGCAAAGCAGAGTCACCCAAGGACCTTTAGAAAATGCTCTCACCTGGATGAATGCAGAAGTATTGTTTGCATCTTCTAGGGGACAAAGCTCCTATCTGTAATTTATGAAAGCTGTCCAGGGAATTCTAAATTAACTGCTGGTTTAGGAATATGTTTCAAGGTCACACAGCAGGTAAACCAGGCACACAAGGCTTTCTGCGTCAGTTGGTGTCTAGAACTGTTTCCAGTTAGCTGGATTCTATGAACACTGGGCAGAGATGATTCTGTTAGCAGTTGCGAGCATGACTATGTATGTGACTGCATGCCTCCCTGGGTCAAGATGGGCAAAGCGGCTTCATCTCTGGTCTTTGGAGGATGCAGGCGTGGTTAAAGGGTGAAAGATGAATAGTGGATAAACAATCTAATTATACGTATGTATGAAAAACGAAATATTGAAGAAAAACATCATTAATAATCGATCTCACCAACAAAGCTTTTCTAGCACTGTCTGAAAGCAACTATTTTTGTGATATGAGAATTGAATTGAAATATTCTAAGAAGTCAGTGAACCTATGAATATAAATTGGAGTTTCTGGTTTATATCTTGTTTTTTTCATATTTTCTCCCACGTTGAGATTATACATTTAGATTAGCATTTGATTGTATTCGCACAATACATTTTTTTATGCTTTTAGTTATGACATAACCCCAATCTCATACCACTTTAAGCCTCAGAATAAGTTTTTTTTTAAATGTGGGTTATTGGATTTTTAGATTCTTTATAAACACATTCTTTCTAGTAACAGAAACTTATTTATCTGCAAGCGGAGCAATTTTATTAGTATAAAGTGATTCTATATGGCTTCATTGGAAGTGTAGCATAAAAAAGATACTTTTTTTTCCCTAATTTTAGGCACAATTATGGAAAGTAATAACCAGTGGAATAGAAATACGGCTCTATTTTCAACAGGTTAACCTCCTCCGATAATGTTTTCATATTTTTGTTAGCTTCTGGCTTTATATTTATATGATTTTGATCACTGGCATTAGAAATACGTTGCACGCATTGGGAATACTATCGAAAGCTGAGTTGTTACCACAATTTCATCCCCCTGTTGAATGCTTTATTATTATTATTTTTTCTGCCTCGGAAGGTTTTCACACATCAGCGTTTTACTTGCTTTTGGAGGATAATTATGGGTGTGGTTTTTGAGTGGATGTTAGCATTGCAGCCCCTTCACGCCTGCAATTACGTAGCTGTTAACAAAAAGAGCAAGAAATAAGTGTCACGCACCTCTGCGGGCGGCAAAATGATTCTCTAGTTCAAATGTTATTTACACCATTAGGATAAACAGCTTCATGGGATGGACTCTAAATGCCCTTCGGCGTGTGTACACCCAGTGAGGTAAGGCAGGGGCCAGCGGCCTTTGCCAGGTGCCTTTTTTGGGGACAGAAAGTTAAAAGGCTTTTGACAACCGGAAATTCACTAACTGGCGCCC